AAACAAGGGCAGAAAGACCGATTGGGTCGATAGCCTTTTTCTGTAGGAAATAAAGATTATTTATATATATGAAACAGTTAAGCATTTAAGTATTTATTTGAAAATGCTAACTAGAAACGATTTAAAAGATATTTTTTAAACGCGTGATACTGCATCTAGAAATCGTTGTTTGGAGAAAAGTCTTAGAAGCAAAAAGTTTAAAACGCAATATGTTTCTTGTACATATAACATTATCAAGTCCTCCGTTTTGAAAATGTTCATCTAAACCTTATAATAGCCATCATCGTTTTACCACCTTAACTTGCATTTTTTAAATCGCAACTTGCAATAAGCCTGCTTTTATAACAACAATAATAAAAAATAAAAGATGTAGTTGTTATACAAAGGTTTATGCAAATTCTGTTCTTTTATATAAGGAAAATCATCAATTTTTTAAGCAAAAATTACTAGAAAAGTAATTGGATCGCTGTAAAGTGGCTAATCCATTTTACCTTTCAAATAATCTGTATTTATGTAAAATTGTAAAATTTTTCTTTGCGTTGGCTTGTAAATATTTGATTCTATCACGCAAACTTGAATTGCCGATTGTGTAAATGTGCTCAACGTCTCCTGTAAACGTTTTTCCAAACAACCATTAAGTATATTTATAGCAAAATCAATGAAAATATCAATCCGCCCTTACGTATGCATGTATAAGTGGTTAAAGTACATCGAAATGTGGTCACCCCTCTATTCAAAAGATGTAAGGCGTAAAGCGAATAGGCCGTAGAAAAATAACAGAGAAAAACTACAAAAGCACTTTTAGGCGTTCCCAACAAATTAAATGCACAAAATGCTCTTTGACTTGAATCCAAACCCGGCGATAAATTCAGTAACCAGCAATGCGTGTTTCGATCCGATTCCGGTTTCCGATTTTATGAAATTCGCTTCATTTCTTTCAGCTCCGTTTATCGGCGAACATAAAATCCGATTATATGGCCTTTCAGGGAAGCGAAACGATATTTCATCGGCATCAGGATGAATTTAATGTTCAGAAAAAACTTCAGGGAACAAAAATCGGGACCCATAACGGGCAAAGGGGTCAAAGCTTCATCTGGCAGACACACCAACAAACGATGTACGAGAGATCAAGGATATACGCCCATGGAAGAACACCATTATAGAACGCATCTTTTTTTTAGTCCACCCCGATGTAGTTACCAAGATGACTCGGATGGTAAGCATAGTAAAAATATTCTTTATAAAAATGTTTAAATCAGCATTTACTTTACCTTTCTATACAAAATTGAAATAAATAAAAGCTCATTCGAAAATTTGTCATTGTTGTGGAAGCCGAGAAACAGGTGGAATATAAAGTTATTTCAGAATTCAACATCTATTCAAAATATCGGAACGCTTTGATATTTGATTGTGTCATTACGTACTATTGTCCCAACTTAAGTAGAGAAATAATGAATTTTTTTCTCATTTATCCAACATTTCAGTCCTTTACACACTTGATATTTTTTATATTTTCATTAATATGCACAGCATATACGCTACCGCACAATATACAGAATGGATGACAAGAAGTCTAATTGTAGGTCCTAAAAGTAAATATACATAAAAAAACATACCGAATCATTTTTATTCAATTTGTTTATCACAACATTATAGAAAAAATTGCTTTGGTAAAAAAATAATTTTATTAAATATTTTTCGAAATTAGAGTGGTGTCGCTTTTATATTCAAAACCCGTTTACCGTATTAGACTTTGAATGCTTCATTGGCTCATAGTGTAAATTTGTGCAAATTAATGCCCGTTTTAAGGTAATCTGTAGTAATATGACTGAAGGGGCAATGTTTTAACTATTCAGTTTTTAACGTAAAAATCGATACCCGAATGTCGGCATATTAATTGCTTTTTCTAATATTATATGGCAAAAAATCAGTTCTAGTTCAATTAATTTCCCCTAATAATATTATATGTTGGCTACATATTATAATAATTAGAATAAGGTCAGAGAGACCGACTAGGTCAATAGCATTTTTCGCAATAAAAAACTTATTATTATTAATCTAAAACACAGAAATATTTCTAATAATTTTAAATGTTTACAACGCGAAAATAAACTGATGAAGGGTTTTATAGTAATTGTGTTCGTAACAATACTTTATGTATTAGATAAGCCATGGGTGAACTTTTGAACGTTGCGGTCCGAAGAATCTAAAAAAATAGGCCATAAATTAGTATTGCTCCAAATAACTGCGATTTTACAATAGGCCAAATAAACACTTTTTAGCTTTTCATTACAATATGATGAGAAAATTGTCGCTGTTATCACAACTTTGAAACGTGAAATATTCATTTTGTTTAAAAGAATGCACGTTTTATAATTTAGGTTATAAAACATTAATTAGATACAGTAGAAATACTTATTAGTCATTTTTTCAGACCAAAAAAACCATAAAAATCATTAAATCGCGTTTAAACAATTTTTAATATTAGACTTTTGTTTCATATTTTTTGCATAATCTGGGTGCATCACCATGCTCTAACAATGTAAGTACTGTGTAGTTTTTTACATGGTGTTTTGTTTAACAATGTCCAAGAGAAACAGAGTCCAAACAGAATCTCAGTAAACTTGTAGTGTGACCTCCCCAAACTTGTAGTGTTATCTGTTCGGTATACTTGCAGGAAAGATGAGATTCATTAACAGGCTGTTATTTATTTGCAGTTGTATACTAAATATTGTTGTTGTATTGGTAAATGATTGTTGTTAATTGATAGTTTTCTTGCGATTATTTTCCACATAAAATTAAAATTTTGAAAAACTGAAAAGTTATAATATATTACATCAAACGTTTTAAAATAGTCTTTTATTGTAATTTAACACAAAATTTGATTTTGAAATTTTTTAAAGTAATTAAATAAAACGACGTTTTCTTAAAGTATTTTTATTTCATAAAATCTTCAGAACCTTTAATAATTATAGGCGTGTTAAAGTTTCTAACATAAAACATAGGTAAACATGAAAAATAAGAATTTCTTTGAAACTTTCTATTTTTTATCCGATTTATTACGCTTTAAGCCAAACATTAGTCTCGAATTCAATCGAATAATTTTGTAAGGTGTTTTATGGCTCTACTATAGAAGAGCCCCCCTCTTAGATCGTACAGAAATCGCGACTGAAAAAAGACATTCATATAAAAGTGTTGTGGTTGTCGCCAAATTATTTGTTTCTGTTACTTTGAACTATAAAGGGTAGCTCAAAATAAAGTTATGATAGTCAAGTTTATTTTTTCAAATGGAACAGCATACTTTTTAATCAAGATTCAGGTTCTACATTGAATTCGAAGTATTTTTTGTATAACATACTATGTGAATCAATTCAATGGCTTTGAACATAACGACATTTGAATATGGGAATGCAACAAAAGCAAACTTTATTATTATTTTTAAAAATAAAATAAATGATATGATTTGAGGACAGAACAAAACAAAAAACGGAAATAATAATAGAGTTTATTTTTCTTGCGTTCCCATGTTTTAAACGCCGATATGTCCAAAACTATTGAATTCGGTCACATAGTATGTTATTCAAAAATACTTAAAATTCAATGTAGAGCATGATTCTGGGTTAAAAAGTAGGCTGATCCATTTAAAAAAATAAACTTGACGGTCATAACTTTATTTTGAGCTATCCTGTATAGTTCAAAGTAACAGAAACACACACTTTGGCGACAACCACAACACTTTTATGAGAATTTTTTTTCAGTCGCGATTTCTGTACGATCTAAGAGGGGGAACTAGTTTCAGTTTTTGATTTTATTTTATTTTCAGTATTTTGAAAAAAAAATTAAATGTTAATTTTTAAAATTTAGTCCTATCTTCGCAACAAAGTACTGTCTGTTTTAAAAAAAATCCTCAAGAAAAAGTAGAGAAAATTCTACGCAAACGAGACTTTTCAATCATCTCCAAAAAACACATTTGAATGATTTTAAGTGTAGTACAGAAAAATGATAAAAAGAAGCAAAAATAAAAATATTTATATTTTATGCGGATAATTGTTTACCACTACGACTGTGAACAAAGGAGCTATTAATGAATTGAATGAAAACAGCACTCAGTACTATGATTATTGCTGAACTTGGTCCTTTTTAATCTAAAGCGTTAATGGTAACTGTCCATGTTTTTGATAAATAACCATCAATGTTCTATGCCGAATCGACAATTGCCACTTGTGCAATCTTATTTTTTGCAGGATCTCTTGGTTCTTCAGGTAACTCGAGTCGCCAGAGGCACGGCAGAGGTTTGGTAGCTAAATGTTTGATTTTTGTGATTTTTGTCGTTTGATCGTCCCCGTTTATAACGTAATTATTCAATAATATTGCCTGAGAGAAAGATTTACTGGTTTTAATGACTAATTTTAGTTTGATTCACTTTGAACTGTCTGCTATTTGGCACAAAGTAGAAAGTTGAGTTAAATTTTAGTGTGTAAAAACATAAATGCAAAAATAAATGTTGCAAATGTTTCGCAAAATAAGAGGCTGATATTTTTAACTGTCAATGGAAAGAATAAAAATACCCATAATGTGAAACAATGCGTCAATTTTTCTATTAAGTTTAATGTAATGCTTTAAACGTGCTAAACAGTTTAAAGTTATTTAAAGTCGATTACTTTGTGGATATTACATTTTACTGATTTTCTGGTTTGGTGGCCAGTTTTCATATATGTATGTATTCGTTTTTAAATGCAAAAATACATTAAAAACTACAAAACGTCTTAGTTGAAAATACGGTGTTACAGCAATAAGAATGATGAAAATAAATCCTTTAAGTAATAAAACAAATACATTAACATTTTGGAATCAAATTTTTGTAGTTGATGGTTGTACGTTCCTGTCTTCTTGTTCGGGATTTTTCAGACACGTACACCGCAAGTAAGAATCTGAAAAACTCCCTTGAAGTGACTACTTATTCATTATTTAACTCTACGATGTGTGGCGCAATCAACATATAAGCTTAAAAGCAAAATGCAGTTTCAGCCGCGCAATGTTCCGTATTTAATTAACTAAGCAGCAATTTACCAAGTTTTTTCTAGTGATATTTTCTAGAAAGGACGGTACGAAATTTTGTTGGCAAGATTCAAATTCATTTACAAAAATATCCTTCAATATTTTTAATAATCTCTGACCGTGCAGATCTATCAATACTTATTCAGTAGTGTCCCAGCTTGCTGTTTAAATTCGTCCGACAAATATTTTTAGAAAATTATTTCTCTATTTTGTGACCCCACACTGAATACGTTACACAAAACAGGGGCTCCTTCAGGTAATACTCGCCGAATAGCCGGCTCGTGCAAACCGAACATTTTTCGATTCATTTGCCTTTTGTTTTTATTTCTGCAGGTATCCAATAATATAAAAACATTCCCCCACTACCTCGTCTATCGGTATATTGTGCTAATTTTCAGTGTTTGGTGTGCCAAAAAATTCGACGCAAGTGTAGACAAAATAATGGTTGACGTGCTGTTTTTGTGTTTGATTTATTCGTTCCTGAACTTTAAGTATTGCTTGTTTCACGTTGCTAATGTTTATTATTATACGCTTTCATTATTGTCGATTCAGGTATTTGGATTACTGACTTGTCGCCTAAATAACATTTAAAAATATATTCAAAATAAAACCCATTATTGGCTGCAATTTTGTTTCGTATCATCATTGTTATTGAGCTTCTCTGCTTATCCGATCGTCATACTACTTAATTGCCAACTATTAAATAATCTTGTTCGATCGTAGTTTCCGCTCAAATGGGCCATCACGATCAGTGCAACGCAATCATCAAGATGCAAGATTACAAACACACTTTTTACTCAACACTTTTCTTTACTATCTAACATCTCCTATCTGAGGTTTCTCGCCAATTTTTCCACACAATCCGCTTTTATTCCTGATTTTTTATTTTTCTTTTATGTTCGTCATTTATGCCCTGGCCATTCAGGTTTTTATTTTGTTTATTCCTTGTCTCAGCTTTTGCTATTAACGTTATTTTCATTAATTGTTTAGAAACTTCCTTTTATGTTTCTAAATTTTGATTACCTACCTATCTATTTTCTTGTGTCTTAATTACGTATTATTCGTACTATCTTGTTGCTTCATACTACTGTTTTTATCATTTGTTTCACAGTTTACCTTCATTTTTTTGCGTCCAACATCAACAAGCAGCAATGTGAAATTTCCAAAGTATTTTTTATTAGCAACTCCGTGAAATTTTCCCTTTTTTCCATTTTTTCATGAAGCATTCCTTCATTTTTAGAGCATTAATTTATAATTATTTACTCCGGTTGATGATCAATATAGGCGCATATATTTTGAAAGGATCATACATCAACCTTTCTCATATTTTCTTTTCGAATTTTTGAAAGCAATGTTTAGCTGCTTCTTTGTTTAGCTACCCATTATCTACAGGGTGTTAATTGCTTAATTGTTTGCGTCGTTGCCTAATTTTCCTGATGTGATCAGAAAAGTAACTACATTTTGATTTGTGTAACGTTTTTCGTTAATTTATTATTTAGCTCTCCGATGGCTTTTTCCTTCTGTATCTACTTCCTTATCTTTCGCTTTTTCTTGGCCGTTTTCAATGGTTTCTTCTTTGAAATTTCTGTTTTCACTATGTGATAGCAGCTGCCTCCTTTATTCTTTCCATCATTATTTGTGGTGTGTGTCTTAAACATTCAATTGTTTCGTTCTCTTTAACTTGTATCTCCAAATTTCTTCATTGCCTCTACTAAGATATAGAGAATGAAGAATGGGGTACCCAAATTGCTGCTTGCCGCTGTTTTTTCGACTAATCCTTAAATATTCCTTGCATGGTTTGCATGGTTCCGTGCATGGTCATTAATTTCATTTGTTCCAATCACAAATTCGTCTTAAGTTATGTACTTTTGCTTTTCAATTCTGGTTTAAATGTCTTTTTTCGAATCTCATAGTTTTCATGCTTTGATTTGTTTTACTGAGTGTTTGTTTAGATAGGTTTTTCTATACATTTTTGTGGATATTTTTCAGATTAATTGTATTAAATTCTTGCCAAATTAGATTTGTGTTCCTAGATTTCTTTTGTCACGTTATCATTTAGCTCAATAATTGCACATGGGATTTCATTCTCCGTGCATTTTTTTGTGCTGCGTCGCTCCACTGTTATAGTTTTTCATATAAATTTATCCTATATTGAATTATTACTTCACAAAAGGCATCAGCTTATTGGGAAATTAAAATCATAGCGATGCCTGTATTTTCGGGAGCTTCATGTGCTTTTCATCAAAGACTTCTAGATGTTTTCTCTATCTTCATTGGACACAACTTCCACTCTGTCAGTTGTACAGCTTCTAACAGAATGCGAAGTGTTAAACTAACAAACAATCTTAATATTGTGATTGAATGTAAAGTAAGGGAAATTAGTAAAATTAAAAGTTTTTAATAAAACGATTGTTTTACAGAGCCGCGTTGTGGCCCCATGACCGGTGCTGGTGGGGAACCTCCTCCCCCCAGCACGACCATTTCACCAGCAATGACGGAGTCTGATCTTCCCCAACCCTTGATAATGAGAACTCCATCCGTAAACGTTAAATGGCCAACTCATGGGATTCATCCCGGAAAAACTACCCCATCGAGACAGGTTAAAAAAATTAAAACATATTGAAAAAGTGTTCTCATGAACATTGCTTTAGGTCAGTTTCAACCATGGAAATCCCGATGTAGCCAGATCGTTATCAGGAGTGGAAAAAGACTGCTTCATAATTCCTATTCATAGTTTAGATAGATTTCTTCCCGCAGGAGTGCCTATGCCAGTAGGTAGATATTTTATAGCTCATTTTCATTAAAAAAAATATCGTCTTTAACCGTTCAGACGCAATTAAACTATTTCGTGCCAATGGGACACCCTATGCATGTAATTTTTTACAAATCTTTGAGTTGGATCGTGTTTTCTACTCAATAGCTTTTTTAGAAATATCAGAACTGCCTGGTTTTATCAAGTAAACTGATTAATTTATCTTAGAAACCACCGCCGTCCAACGGAAATTCGATGGAAAGGAAAGCTCAAGGAAACTTACATGTAATGGAAGTACCTGACCCTAAACTATGTGTCTTATGCCACCTTATGAGTCAATTAGAGCCGATTGATCCCATATTAGAATCGCCACTAATTCAGCCTTTGTTTAAACAAAGAGTTATTGCTGGCGAATTGGTAAGCGAAGTTGCAATGGCCAAAAGTGCGGTAACTGGAATGCTCTTAGCCAATATGGAAAGAAACGGTAATCAAGATCTAGGTAGTGAATTAATACATATAATTTAAAATAATATTATACATAATCTTTATTATTTTTCATTGCTTGCCAACATTAAAAAAAGACTGACACAATACATTTGAAAACAAATTTTTGTGGTTATTAGAAAGTTATTTTTTATAGCTTTCATTCACTTAATGTTTTATGTTATTTATGTTTTTTAGCGGAGTTCCCATTTATAAGTTATTATGTAATAAATACATCCCATACCAATCCAGTAATGTTTTATAATAATTTACGCACCGCCAGCTTAACGAAGTTTGATCCTAGAGCAACCAGGTAATTATTAAATGTATTACTTGCCAAACCAATAGCAATTTTCCTATATCGAAATGGTGTTTCAAATAATCGGGGAAAATACAAAAGCGAAACACGATAATGGACGAGTTTAAATATTTAATTTCACTTTAGTCTATCGTTTTAGTTAATGGAAATTTTTTGGACTGTGTTGATAATATCCTCATATTTAGATCTATACTTATAGATTGTTTTCATTGTTTTACATGCATCTTTATATTTTATTAAAGCCCATTAATTGGTTTTTAGATATACAGCAGCACATACTTTAGATTTATACGGCGAAGTGGCTGCAATATGTAGGTGAGTTAATCCAGATGTCTCCTGTAGATTATTCGTAGATTCTTACAGTCCTAATATTTCTTTTTTGAAAATAAGCCACATTATTGCAACCATCTTGATAACTTACACGTTTTATGTAAAAGACGTTGGTTCAATTATTTTTCATCCCCTTCATTGTACTGGGATATTTTTTCAAGACCTTTCCAATCCAATATAAATTCAAATTTCCTTTTAATATTCCACATAATTCCGGATGTATTTTATTGAAGTCTCATATAAAGAACATTCTTCATTTTATACATTACCTCCATACAAAATACCGTATGATCAAAAGTACCATTTCGCTTCATGTAAATGCACCATTCGAACCATAAAATTATTATGAAATAACCGAGCAATTAAAAGTAAAAAGGTGATATTTTTTGGACTAATTTTCACACATATTATTTAATCTCTTCTATAAGGCCTCCTATACATGAAATTGGAGTGTCGCTGCCAAAAACTCACAATCCCAACACCGGCTACATTGTATCAGTTTACAAGGTGTTCGAAGGAGATGATAGAGAAATATTTGAGAGAAACTGGCTATATTGGACAGGTAACATAAAAATATGTATTCATTAAAGTTGAAACTAAAACTTAGCCGATATTTAAGAATAAAAAATAAAACCTATTACAAATATTTGAATTTCGGATACTTGAATAACGGGATCTTCATTGAACCAAAACAGTAATTACTTGTAGGGACCAATTCCTTTATTTTCAAGGCAATTTCTGATTGAGACAAATAAATTTAAATCTATAGAATTAAGATAAAAATCATATATTATTTAGTTTGTAGTAGACCTGGATGTATAATTGGTTTGATCCGTTGCTTTTGACATATTTTAGGTGCGAGGATGATATACAGATACCTTCCACAAAAAGCGGGTTTGAGGAAAATATCCCTCCACAAGTCGTTGAGTCCGAAAGGGGACAAAATGTACATATTATTGTGTGAATGTGCCAATTTACTGCCCGATGTGACCGTTTGTGCATTATTACTGCCGGCCCTTCGAGCCCGGTTAACTGGATACACAGGCCTTTTCAGGCCTATACAAGCATTCTAATCCTTTCTTAGAATGAGTTTCCAATATACAAAAGCACTAATTACTTACTCAGAAGAACAAATCTATCGATTTATTGGAAAAGTATCAATATTCGAGTGATTGTTTCAACTGTCTGTCTTAAGACGGACTAAACACTTGAGTAAAAGCTGGTTTAATCGTTCAATAAAGAGTAAAATAATAAAATAAAGTATTTGATAAAAATGAGAACTAAAAATAACTAAGAAAGAACATGGTTTGCAAAATGGCAGGAAACCTAGAAGCAGTTCAGAACTTAAAGACAATAATACAAATTATTAACGCAATCTAATACATTACATATCAAGAATTATTTCACTTTTTCCAAATAAAACTTTGTTAAAATATCAACTGACGTAGGCTCTCAAAATTTTCATAAAAAATACTTTTGAGGAACAGAGAAACACTAAGGGACAAAAAGTGAGAGAAAAATGTTAAAAAATGAAAAATGCTAGCATCTTGCTCATTACTTATACATTTGCGTAACCTAAATGCTTATAAATATAAGCACGTAATGGCTTAAAGAACTTGAGGTGAAAGTTGGCGTCTTGTAAATTCATACAAAACAAATTTAAGAATTTTAATAATTCTATTCGTACTTTGATGCCTTTACCCTATGTAACTGCTGTGCATTGAATACGTATACAATCGAAATTTGCTTGCTTTCGAGTGAAATTTGTGCTTCAGCTACGAAACAATATTTGCCATTTCTTTGTTGGGTGTTTTTAATTTGGGCAATGAAAAATATATACTTTCATCAAAAGCAAAGTGAAGTTGATAAAGATAATTATTAATATAATTCCTTCTAAATTTCATTCAATAAAAATTATGTAGGTTTCGAACCCTGTAGGTTTTGTCCTGACAAACATTAATTAAGATCATATTGAAATTTAAAAAAAACTGTTTTTTCCACACAGTTTACATTAAAAACAAAAGACATATAATAATAAGAATAAAAATGAATATCTCTAGATTTGCGATTTATAACTAATAGCAATAATGTGTACAAAACCGTTTTAGATTTCTAGTTTTAACGCAAAAAACTTGGCTGTGCTAGCCACAATGTGATATAATGCACGTTAGGGGTCCACTCAAATATAAAATCTCACAATAATCTATCATATTACACTAGATTATTTGTAATAAGTATTCGCAATAAATTAGGCTTTGTGGCTCGATTAAACGACTATCAATAAAGTAATTCGCCCTTTTAACATGGTTTATCACATCAAAGCCCTAGGATTCTTTATCGGGTGCTTAGTGACTTTAATTAAGAGACTAAGTGCTCCGGCCCTTAATATTAGAAGTCAATTTGTGTCTGGTTATGGTTTTTTTAGTTAAGGCAGTAATAATAAGGCTACGATGCTTAATGACCACATCACTCACGCAATCAGTTTTTTTGTGGCTGTTTATTTAATATAGCAATTTATGAATAGGCGACTTTTTCCAAAAAATATCGCACTAGTTGTACCACACAATTTGAAAAACAGATGTTGTTGATTAGTGTAAATTGTACGATTTTGATAATAAACATTTAAAGTTTTACGTAATATTTCTTATTGTCAGTTTTCCTGGTTTTTAGGTCGTCGTGGAAAAGCCCAGTGAATTCGATATATATAAATAGACCCTAATCTGCATATTTAAATAACACATAAGTAAGTAATTAATTTATTATTATTTATTACACACTAGCCAACTACTCGCTTACAAAAAAACATGTGACTATACTTCAACAGTACCAGCTGTTAATAACCCTTTCTACCCCTAAACCGTTGCCTTGCGTCCAACTAAAAGAAAACCAGAATAGTAATATAAGAGAAAGTTTAGAATATTTGGCAAAGTTATTACCATTGATCTTTTGCATTCAAAGAAGGTATTTCGAAGGACATAGCACTCAGATGGTACTGTCCCATCATTGAGGTTTAGACATTCTCGTGGCGTTTTCTGTCTCTGCAATTAAATTTGCGTCTGTATTTCAGTAAAAAAATATTTTGCGGCTCAAGTTTTCAACATATAATAATAAGAATAAAAATGAATATCTCTAGATTTGCGATTTATAAATAATAGCAATAATGTGTACAAAACCGTTTTAGATTTCTAGTTTTAACGCAAAAAACTTGGCTGTGCTAAAACAATTTTGATAAAAAAATACTTTGCTCGCAGATAGTTTTTTTTCCCGATTTTCTATTAGTTTTAAAATTAGAACTTACGGATCGGCAACAATCGCTTTCAAGGAGACACATTTTTAAATCTGCACGCACGCCAGCACAGGCACTTTTATCTTTGAGGGTTTCATTTTCATTCTCATATCGCATCATTTTCTGAAACAGAAACAGAGAATTTTTTATGTGGGCATTTGCAATTTAAGATTTATGTGAATAGCACCAATATCATTGAGGAATATTTATAGTTTTCAAAAGGAAATTATTCATCTACTTGAAAATGTATTGTAGTACTAAAAAGTACTAAAAAACCATAAAATGTCTACGTTTTATGGTATTTGGGGAAAAAACTTCCTTTGCGGGTGAATTTATAATCTAAAAACTGGCACATTATCCAGTGTTCTATTTTCTAAAATCAATCGCAAGCAATTTGCACCAAATCCCGTACATTTTGAACTACTAATATCTAATTAACTGGCGAGGTAGAGGTTTTTCTCTTAAACAGTGGACTAAATAAAGGAATGTGGTTCTTTTCTCGTGAACGTACTGTATATAGACAATGTCTAAGCTTTCAAAGATAAGCACTATATTATTTTATAGTCTGCACATTAAATTAATTCCTTAATCACTTCTTAAAACACTGTAACTCCTTCGAAAGATCAAATTTAATAAAGTGTAAATTATAACATTTTTATATTTATCTTAAGCACAAATACTTACGGGATATTGTGCAGAAAAACCAGTCTCCGTTGAACAATTCCAGATATTTTAAAGCTTACAATATGAGGTAGAAATACATTATAAAACCGCATACAAGTTATTAAAAGCATAGACAAGTAAAAGTAAACCGAAATTGAAGGTTAGTTTCGTAATCGACGTCTATAAGGCTGGGCAGTAATAATCGATATCCGTCTGGTGTTAACTCATTTAAATAATTTTTTTTAATAAAT